GTCTTCTCATCTCCATCCCTTTGTACCAGGCTACTCCCCAATGCATACAGTTTCCAGGGCAGGGATTGGTGAGCAAAACAGCTCACTGTGTTAGGCTCATGTTCCCCAAAGGTTTAAGTGACCTTCCTCAGCCACTTCTCTGGTAAGTAAAAATATTGTTTCTTCTTAAACATGTTATTACAGGAATCTGGGCAAGAAGTGTATAACTTTTCTCCCAAAAGAGAACGTCCCTGTCTGCCCACGTGTAACCCCTTCTGATCCTTTGATGGTAAACACTTTTTCAGTTTCCCCCTTCCCCAAGGCTTAAATATTTTACATTCAGAAATGAGAAGGAACTTTCTCTAATTATGTTTTTGGTGTTTTATTATTTCAACCGATCCATGGAAATAAATACAAATAATAGAAAATTGGGAAGACTTCTCACAAGACCAGCCTTTCCTTTCTCACATACAAGGAGCTTCATCCATGCCACACATCAATGCAGCAATCTGCTGCCTGCTGTAAAGTATCAGCCATGAGGTTATCTCATTAGCTTTCCCATCAATAATTCTGGGAAGACACGAAGCACTCAGGTCCCTAACACGCTCCCAGCCAGGCTTTCCACATTTCACTTTCTATGGTGACCCTCAGGCCGCCAAGTGCTGCAGAGTCTATGACCATCACTGAGGGCAGATCCCTGGCTGTGTCTATATGTTCTGAGTGAGTGTAGAGCTACCATTGACCACAGGCTTAGATTTCTAAAGCTGCTGCCTCAGAGTCAGTGACAAAAAATAAAGGGCAAAGGGCAGTCAATCCTGTCTGTACTTGGACTTCTTCCTTCCATCTGTGCCCACTGACACTAAACAAGGGAACAGTGATCTCTCCCTTTAAGAAAGCTGCAACCACTTTGAAGGTTTTGTTTTTTGCTTCAGCCCATTCAGGGGCCCCAGAAGGGAACCTGATAAAAACAGTGAATAGGGGATGAAGAGGAAGTTTCTGGTTTCTTTATGGAGTCATGTGATGTTTTGTTAGAAGCTGTCTTGTGAGAGGGCATGTGGCATTTTGTTGGTGGCTGCCTTGTGAGAGGGCACCTGATATTTTGCTGTGAGCTGTCTTATGTGAGGGGCATGACCTTACCCATCTGAGAACAAAGTACGTGGACTCTGAGGAGAGGAGATACATAGAATCCAACAGACAATGAGACATTGCTTTTTGGATTGACATCGCTGTGCTGATCTTCATGCTTTGACACTTGACTTCACAGAGAAGAACCTTCCAGAGAACTTCTTAGGGTAGTCTAGCTAAGTCTTACAGCTTTCACCAACTTGTCCTGATCTTCTGAATCATGCTGATTCCTGTTGCTGCTTTATGTTGGCCTTTGGATTGGACTGCTGGTATCCAGGCAATGAAGAGTGGACTCATCCCAAGGAACTTCTTCTAAAATGGTCTACAGCCCCCTTTATCTAACTGCCTTCTTTCTCCTCTGCCTTTGGTCAGTGGGCAGAAGGGAGGTAGACACATTTAAGAACCCGAAATAAAGTAGGTTTGGCAAAAAATCTAAGCCTACAAGGTGAGACGGTGTCAAGGACACACACCAAGTCCTTACACATCTCAGGCTAATGTTTCTTTTCAGTACCTTTAGGAAAGCTTCTACTCTTATCCCAGGTATCTTGAGAGCAGAAATAGTGGCTGAAGGGCTAAAGAACCTGGCTGGAGGAAGACCAAGGGAAACTGTGGACACCACTGTGATTATGACTGAGTGGGTTCCAAGCTTGTGGACAGGTGAGGGAGCAGCTAGGTGACCAATCTTTTGTTCGTTGGCTTTGTGTTTCTTCTCACCATCGGTCTATGCACTACCCTTCCTCTTCCTCAGGGTAATCACAAGTCATGACCATACCAAGACCAAAAGATGTGCCTTTGATGGTAGGTTAGCCCTCACTTCACCTGCCTGAGTATGTGTTTGTGTTTGTGTGCATGTGTACGGGGCGGGGGGTGTCTGTGTGTGGTAGGTGTGTAACGTGTGTGGTGTACGTGTGTATGTAGTGGTTTGAATAATAATGGTTCACCATAGAGGTGTGGTTTTGGAGTGGGTGTGGCTTTGTTGGAGGAAGTGTGTGACTAGTGGGTGGGTTCAACTCAAAAGCTCAAATAAGGTCTCGTCCTTGCTGCCTGTGGATCAAGATGTAGAGCTCTCAGCTCCTTCTCCAGCACCATGTCTGCCTGCAGGCTGCCATGCTTCCCACCATGATGTCAATGGACTAAACTGCTGAAACTGTCAGCCAGCCCCAGTTAAATGTTTTCCCTTATAAGAGTTGCTGTGGTCATAGCGCCTCTTCACAGCAATAGAAACCCTGACTATGGCAGTGGGTGTATGTATGATGTGCATATGTATGTGGGGTGTCTGTGTGTGTGGTGTATGTATGAGATGTTCATATGGTGTGTGTGTAGTGTGTATGTACATGGGATCTGTGTATATGCATGTGAATGTTTGTATATGTATGTGGTATATATATGTTTGTGTGTAAGGTCTGTTAGCATGTGTGTGAGTGTTTGTATATTTGCGTGTATTTGGAGATACAAAAATTAAAAAGGGAGGTGATCTTAGACAGTGTAGATTTTCTAAGAATGTTTCAAAATTGGAGCCAGAATAATGATGGTTCAGTAGTTAAGATCACTTACTTCTCTTGCAGAGAACCAGATTTGGGATCCCAGAACCCGTATCAGCTCACAATGATCTATGATTCCAGCTTTGAGGATATGATGTTCTCTCTGGCCTCTGCGTCACCCTCACTCATATGCACATACCTACATACAGAGACAGACACTTACACATAAATAAAAATAAATCTAAAAAAATGAATGTTTCAAATTATTAGAGACATCATCTGTCCCCTTTATAATGTGTGATGTGTGATAAACAAAACCACAGCCCAGTAGGTGAAGATGATTTTTCCATCCAAGAAATGAAGAGAGAGCTCACCCAGCATTACAGTAGAATGTAAGATGTTGTTCTCTTCTCTGGATCTACCCTAGTATGGCTGTTAGACAAGGGGCCCTGCACAGCTGGCTCTATGGAAGGGACCAGCAATGGATACCTGTCTCCAAAAGGAATGCAAAGGAGAAGGCCCATTTATTAAGCACTGGAGTGGGGAGGTCACTGAGTGATGCACAGCTGGGAGCAGACAGGCATCATGGGAAGGCACAGTCTTCACACCATCAGGTCTATAAGAAGGACACAAATGCTGGAAGGAGACAAGGGACAGTTGGTCTCATATGGGTACACACAGCAGCCCAGGAGAACTTCCATGTGTGGATGTTTCCTCTGTGATTCTCAAAAGTGTCTCCTTGAGGCTCCTAGAACCTTGAATGCCCCTTTAGCAGGTGCACACATCGTTGTTACTTCACTCTGAACTATCACCTGTGTATTTGGACAGCAAGAGTAAAATGAACGCACACAAGTCAGGGAGCCCCTCACTTTTACTGTGGACAAGGGGAAGCACAAGAAGTTCTTGCAAAGCTTGGTATTTTCGGGCAAATTCTTAGACTCTTCTTCAACCGGACACATCTGGGGTTTGCTGCGCACACAGACAGCAGGTTGAACAAAGCTGCCTGGCCACTGGGCGACCTGCCTACCATGAGCTCCAAATTCTAAAGACTATTTTTCTCTCTGAAGCTGGTGACCAAGAACAGCATCCTTCTTTGACTTTCAAAGCTGGCCTTGTGAAACCTTTGCGACACATTCGGAGAACACCTGCAGCATGTCACAGAGTCCACCATGCATGAACATGTTCTTTACACTTTGGAAGTAACTCTTCAACCAATGGTCTGCTCTCTCGCTCTCTCTCCTTCTCTCTCTATCTCTCTCTGTGCATGTGTATGTGTACATACTCATGTGTGTGGGTACACATATGTGTATGTATGTATGCATACCTTTATGGAGGTGAGAAGTCAACACTGGGCTTCTTTCCCTATTGTTCTCTACCTTACTGTTTTGAGGCAAGGTCTCTCACTGAACTTGGTGCTCACACATCTGACTAGAATCCCTTGTCAGTAAGCCACAGTTATCTCTCCTCAGTACTGAAGTTACAAGCATGCATTGCTTTTTATATAGACTTTATGTAGCTTCAAATCTAGGTCCCCATGCTTCTATAACCAGCATTTTGCCCACTAAACCACCACCACCATCTCAGTCCTGCATTGTCCATTTAAAAAAAGCCCCAGTGTCAAGAGCATCAGTGTAAGAATGCTGAGCTTGACCTGGCAGAGAGAGAGGTGGGGGAACTAATCCTTCAGCCAAGTTGGGGGAATGGACCTCCTACCCCTCAAGCTCCAGCCAGCTCTCTGGTGTCACCACTGTGGCTGGCAGTGTTTCATGGTCTAAGAGTTTAAAAGTCAAGACAAAACAAAAATTTCAAGGCCAAACAATCAGCCATATTCATGTATATTTGGAATCAGAGAAAGGAGGGGGAGAAACAGACTCAGAGAGCTCGGGAGAGCTCTGTTGCAGGTACCAATTAACTAACTGCGAGATGGAGCTGCACCATTCATCTTCTTGCTGGAATGTCATGAGGCTCTTACAAACAGAAACAGCACAACCCGAAGAACTGGCCCAGCTGAATCATTTGAGAAAATCATATTTTAAAGGAGAAATAGCATATACCTTCCGCTGCACCCGCTGTCACAGCTCAGTAGACAGCAGGGGAAGGATCACACTAATGGGGCAGTGAAAACGCCCACACATGGTGGCCAATTCAAGATCAAAGCCAGTGAGTCCCCCCTCATCCGGGGACTTTTCTAGCTAAGCACAGACATCCTTTATTTCACTCACTGGTGCAAGTTTGAGGCAGCTTTGTATTTTTCCCCCCAAAACTTAATTTCCTCTGAGCCAGTTAGGAGAAGAGGGATTTCTGAGGACGAGGAGGAAAGCAAACATCCCACGTAAGATACAACAGTTTTTTTTAGCACATCAGTCACACTCTACATAGCTTAAGATTAATTCCCAGAGTCCTTTGCACACTTATTCATTGCTTTGCTCTTTGAAATGAAGTTTTTTTCACCCCTGAGCCGACTCCGTTGCGAAAGGACCTTTTCATCGACGTCTTCTCCAAAATTGGCTTTAGGAAAGCTAGTCCTTCGCCCCCCTCCAGCCTGGCTGGGCAGCTGCTCAGTAAGATGAGAAAGTAATCAGGCTTCCCAGGCACCTGGTGATTGAGATGGGGGAAGAGGGAGAGGATTCAGCTTCTGGGTTAAAAGTTTATTTCAACAGCAATGATTTCCATAATCCTATGGCCATAAAGGCCCCATGTCTCATCTTAACAGGGAGAAACATCGTTAAGTATGTGTTGTGTTTCAACACATACTTAAAGTAGAGAGCATCTGGGTTACCTCTGGCTTGTCTACTTTTCATTCTGCCATTCAGCATTTACATTGTGTATTCCACATAACGATCATGTTGTCATTATTTCATAAGGAGTATTTGAAGGCTATGATTAGTCCTGGGAATGCTACTGAAAACTCACGTAGGGGCTAGGGCTGTGGCTCCATTAGTAGGGTACTGGCTAGCTTACCCAACACCCTTATTCAGTCCCTAGAACCACATAAGCTGGGTAGGGTGGCACATACTTGACAGATCAGCACTTGGAAGGTGGAGGCAGGGAAATAAGAAACGTAAGGTCATCTTCAGCCACATAGTGAGTTTTAGGCCAGCCCGGGCTACATGACATCCTGTGTCAAAATTTTCTATTCCCCTAAGTATTCATGGACATGCCAGAAGAAAACCTGCTGCTTTATAAGCTAGTTTTAAAAATTAAATTAACTGAAAGAAATTCACCTAGGCAAAACCCACACAGTGTGACCCAACTCTAGGTTTGTTGGAAGCATTGAACGTCCTTCTGTGGCTACCCACCAAGATTTCCAGAAAGTGGTGCCATTGTATGACCCTGACACCAATGCCTTCTGGCTATGGTCCCAGTCTTCATCATTGCTCAAAGCCTGGATAGCACATCACAATGCTGAGGTGCTCAATGGTGGAAGAAAGGGATCCCGAACTCCAGAGCTCAAACTGAGCCAAAGGAACCTGCAGTCCAGCCCCACTCTGTGCACATGAGGAAGCCATGCATCAGAGCCAAGCCTGTGCTCTGATCACAGCTGGTAAGTCCTGGCGGGAGCCCCAATCTGGGGCTCTGGTGGGAGCTGCTGACACTTGCCAGGCCTCTCTTTTGCATGGGTTCAAAAGAAGACTAACAATTGGCAAGGCGCTTTGTCCTTGACAAAGCAGAGACCTTGGTAAAGCCACCTCTGAGTGACACACTTTCTGTGTCTCCCATTATTTGAGTTATCCTGCAAAGAAAGAGCTGTGTGAAGTCAGCGCTACTGACTTTCGGGCTCTAGATGAGGAAAGCTCATGCTTGCAGATGATGCTATCCCCCAGCGGCTGACTCCAGGCCCTGGTTTCTCAGTCCCAATAGAACAAGAGTTGAAGCATTTTACTTAAAATGAAGAGACATAGCATAAAGCAAAGCTTACACCCTTTGCTCTTTGGTGTAGGAGACAAGTTTGCCTTGAGTTATTCTGTTTGGGGCTTGGGATGATGCTCGTAATGAATCACAATTCCAGTAATCTGGAATTGTCACGCCCTGGCTGGGTGAGTGACTGGTCTCCAGTGCTCAGAACACCTAAGAAATCCTTCCCAATGGCCCTGGGCAAAAGAAGATGTATATTCTCTCTCTTTCTCTCTCTCTTCTTTTCCTTCTGCCCCTCTCTGTCTTTCTATCTCCATCTCTGCCTTTCTCTTTGTTTCTGTGTCTCTGTATCTTTTTGTCTCTCTCTCTCTTTGTATGTTTATGTGTGTGTTGTGTTTTGTTTCCTGTTTGATCTGGGAATAGTCAAATATGGTTTTATAAATATTGGTTATGGTGAAAAGCCAATCAAAACCTCTGAGTTTAACGCCACTCTGTTTTCCCCTGTGTTAACACGATAAACACTGTCTATTTTAAAACTCCAGCAGGAGTGACCTATGCATCATTGCAGAAAGGAAACAACCGACTCTTTCCAGAAACATTCACTGTTTCCAGAAACAGTCACCTCTATCCCACAAAAGAAAGATGCCAGTTCTGGCCATGAGACCCTTAAGTCATCCCTAAAAAGACTTTAGGGTACTTGGCTAATCTGAAGGTAGCTGGGACAACCCATCATGAGGATCCCACTGAGCACTTGCCTAGCTGATGGACTTCATGAAGCTCTGAACAAAATGGTGAAAGTCCATATGATTAGACTGCATCATCACTCACCCCAAACAGTCAGGTTGCCATGAATACCATCCACAGCATTACTGCCTGACGGGGCTGGAACAGGAACAGTGTTCTTGTGAGCAAAGCTAGATACACGGGTAACACAGTGAAAGGAGAAACACTGTCTTATGGCCCAAGCGGTCTGTACATACTTCAGAAGAAAGAATTCTTAATTTAAAAACAGCTACTGAAAAGTGCCTCTTGTTCAAAAATGCTGTGAGCAAACCTTTAGGGACAAACAATAGAAAGCAATCAGGAAGACACTTGAGAAAATATATCCATTTATGGACTGTGAGTCATCCACTGGATCAATGTCATTCACGTCTTAAAGAACCAATGAGTAAATTAGTGTTGAATGCTTATAGGAGGGGAAGGCAGAGAGAAGCTATATTAAGCACACAGGAAATAGAAAAATGACAGATGTGAAGATCAATGAGCAGGCCGATTATATAAATAATAGAATACGGTGCTTGAGGGAGTTGCCACTTGGAATTTCTGTGACCCCTCTTTTAAAACTAGTCCTCAAACCACAGTGAGTGTAGCAATTATACTGTGACAGGTTTAACTTTTAGTGAAGGAAAGTTAAAGTTCACAGCATCATCAACAACCAGAGATATTTTAATATTGTAAACATAATGACATAAAGACAAGGGCAGATGACATAGAAGGAATATAAATACACTAAGGGAAGGCAATTATGATTTTTTAATGTCTTGAGCAGCTCTGGGAATATAGTTCGAACCTCCACCAACACTCTTGAATAAATACAACGAAAAAATATTTTAGACAATATTTTATTGGCATCTAACAAGTTGCCTTATATTCCACATGTGGCAAAAAGCCCACAGTTTTGAAAAATTAAGAAATTTTCTGCTTCTGAAAAATGAGCACTGTGGAGCTTTTTTGTACAATTTCAATGCAAAAATATTTACTATGATTAAGAGTGGGTGAATGGGGGATAAATAAATTGTCATGGACCAAAATATGCACATTTTCGATTGAAACGGCCATTTCCTCATGCAGTACACAATCCTTCTACAGCTCAAGACAAATCAGTATATTCCAGAATTACCTACTACCACATTTAAGTTTCTGCCTTACTAATCTCATGAATCTGTTTACGCTTACTTATCTCTAAAGGTCTAGAGATAAAGTGTACTATTTTTCTGTCACATATTTCTTGAGATTCTTTTGGATTTGGCTATTTCACCATCCTGATCACCTATGACCATCAGAAATAGCAATGAAGCCCTTACCTTGGAAGAGAGAACCGGATAACACCAAAACGTGTGTACCATGGACAGCGACAGGACTAAGATGAGGTTGAGCTTTAAGGAGCTGCAAAGCAGAAAAGACAGAACCTTGACTGGAATCTCACATAAGCAAATGCAAGTTTTAAGAACATACAAAAATTCAATATTTTTCTTGGCAGAGATATGCAGTGCTTTACCTAATCATTTTGGATTCTCCGAGATCTGCGCAGATCGGTTTTTTTTTCTGCCAAATGCCTCAGGCTTGCTGCCTGATCCTCCTTGGGAGGCCCTTTTATATCAGAAAAGTTCTGAAGTGAAAATGTCATTGAGATCCATCCTGTGTGACTGGTTGGCCTGGCTGTGGCCTTTTGTTCTTGTTAAGTAGGAAAAGGACAGTAACATGTAAGCTGTCATAGAGTTGCCAGGGGTTGACTTCATTCAAAGCTTGCCATTAAGAATGCCCTTCAGAGGCTCAATCCCCCACACGGCTTCCTTGTGACATAGGTGGCCAGGGGCCTGAAAGGAACAGAAAGCACTGTTTTGAGTTTGGAGTTTATAAACGCTTAGGAAGGATGACAGTGTTTCATTGAATGTCAGAGACCAGTACAGCTGAAATCACTGAGGGCCCCAAGAATGACCACACAAATGGTGCAGGCAGATCAGGTCACAATACCCAATTTTCTTCCTTCAGGACTTCAACTGTCAAAGTAAAACAAATGGCACATCTGTTGTCACTTGTCCCTGAGTCAAGGAATGACACTGAATTTGAAGACACTCTCCAAGTCCTTTGGCCAGAGTTTTGGGTGCCTTTACATTCATCGCTTCCTTTCCTCTCCAGGAGACAGAGCCTGTCTCAAAGCCTCACTGCCCCTATACACCAGCGGGCAATAGTGTTAAGAAGTTGATTCAGGACCAGCTGTTTCTGAGGGCCACGTGGCAAAAAGCACCAAAGAAGATGCTGCTGCTTCTGCTTCTGAAGTAGTGCCACTGGTCTTCATTATAATCAAAGAACATTGCTTTGTGATGGCTCAGATGCCAAAGGGCTTGCCATGCAAGCAGAACAACCTGAGTTTGGATTCCTCGTAACCACATAAAAACAGGTGCAGTGGTACACATTTGTGATGCCAGTGCCAGTGAACTGGAGACAAGCAGAATTGTAGCGTTCACTGGCCAGCCAAGCTAGCTAGTGAGCTTTTACACACATACACACACACACACACACACACACACACACACACCGCAGGTTTCTGGAGAAAACTCTTACCTCCTTTAAATTCTCACCTTTGGGAGGACAAAGGTACCCTGAGTCAGGGACATAGCTAATTGTCACAGCTACATCCAAGCCTTTCTCTTGGGAAATGTCCCTCTGTGTGCCTTTCAGGCAACTGTCAGTCATATAGTCCTAGTCTGACTACCACAAGGACAAGGAAGCGACTCCGTTCTTGAGAGAACTCAGATCACAGAACTAGTGCCAAGCTGAAAGCCTGGGGAAGGTATTCCAAACTCTCTTGTTAGTTCTTTTGAGGACATCATGTAGACACTGGGAGACCAAAAGGGCACAGGGAATTGAGGATATATATTCTCTTGTGATTGTTCCTTAAGACCAGGTAACACACACACACACACACACACACACACACACACACACATACACACACACTGAAAACAACATAGTAGGGAAGAAAGAGGTTCTATTCAGTGGCAGCATTTTGTTAGCTGATGAGCAATAGGCTAACTAGAGCTGGAAAGTGCTTGCTGACAGATTCTCAGCAGACTCTATGCTCAGGGATGGAGACTCTTTACATGTATTAAAGGTAGTCCTGGAAGGAGGGCCAGGAGAAGTGTGTTTAGGAATCAGTTAAATGCCACATCACTTTTCTTCTTCTTGGACTTGGCAGGAGACCAGAGATTTCCTCTAAGGAGGGGCGAAACAGAGGTCTCCTGATGGTGAGGATTAGATATAATGGAGTCTTATAAACAAAGGCACAACTCGAAGCCGTAACCCCTGCATCTGTCTCCGATACAGCTTAGCTCTTAGCATACAGCCAGAGGGTCCCTCATCATCAAAACAGGAGACAGAAGACCCTTTTCTGAATTGTCTTCCCAAGACAAAAGGAAAGAGCGGGAGATACAGGAACCTCGGAGACTTTAAACACAATCTCAGCTTAACAAAGTGTGCTAAACTCCCCTGTTGCCAGCTCTGGTAGCACAAAATCCTTTCATGAATGTTTTCAGTACTTGACAGTAAATCTACATGCATGACCAAAACACAAGTACAATAACTAAAGAACACTTACAGAGCTGTACCCCAGTAAGAAAAAAAGAGGATGGAAGACAACAATATGAAAAAATATGAAGTAATGAAAGATGTGTAAAGGGGAAAAACTTAAAAAGAAACAATATTCTCAAAAAGAAAACAATATATTAGATCAATGAAACAAAAAAGAAAGCTATATAAAAGAAAAACTGCAGATGACACATCATCTAATGAAAATTAAAACAAAAGAAAACTCAGAAGTATTGAGAGAGAACATTAAAAACGTCTCCCAAACTTTAGATTAAGAGAAGGAAGGAGAATCACAAAACAATACTTCCCACAAACATTTTCTCAGAAAGTTACTTCAGGATATGTTCCTATGTTCCACCAAATTGTAATAAAGAAACAATGAGGGACACAGCCACGAGATGAACACAGGAGATGAAGAAAATTCACAGAGAGCAATCAAGAACAGTCCCCAGTTCACCAGTACACCAGACTTGGAGGACCACAAGTATATTGCGATGGTATAGAAGGCTCTGAAAGAGAATACTGCAAGAAGATAAAATTCAAAGGATGACTAAATGCCTTGTAAGGAGAATTAGACCACTGGAGAACTGTAGATTGAACTAGTGGTGAGTCCATAGAGAGATAGATGTTCACGCCAGTGAAAATGATGCCACCCGTGAAGGAAAGTAGTAAGCTAACTACTTGACTCAGTTGGGAGGACATTGTACACTCATTATATTGATGTGATTACCAAGAGGCTTTCTAACGCAAAAGAAACTTAACTGCACTGAAAGCTATTTCTAGCATGAGCATGTGTCTGTGGCAAAGTGGATCGCCCAATCTCTATAAAGGAAACTTAAGATATAATGCTGAAAAAATGAAAATTCAAACTACACTGTTAGTCAGAGTTAAATACAAAGATAATCAGCTTTTAAAAGGTTGAAAGTTGTGGCTCTGGAGGAGGAAACTGAGCAGGAATGGGCTATTATCACAAAGTGCTTCCTTGGATACTTGACTTTCAGTAGAGTATACTGTTAGCTGTGATGAAAGTAAAGGTCTGAGATTTACAACATTATGGACTAGTTGTGTCTGAAGATGGCAGGGGTCGTCTTTACTGTGGCATAGGAAAAGATTGCCTCATTTAAAATAAAAGAAAAAAGCCAGTACTAGAAATGTAGAACTAGGAATGGAAAGGGAGAGAAAGGGAATAAAGGATGGATGGACAGAGGGGAAGTGAGGGAGAGAAGAAAAAGAGAGAGAAATCAGGAGATGGCTATAGAGACAAAGAGAAAGATGGAAAGAAGAAAAGGACTGATGTGAACAGATGTAGAGACAAAAGAGAAATAACTGGAAATATGGAAAAGGAAATGAGGAGGTTGGCAAAAAGAGGCAAAGAAACAAAAAAAAAAAAGACAGGGAGAGAGATGAAGAAAAGCAGGAGGGAGAAAGATTGAGGTTGGCAAATGGATAGGTGGAGAGAGATAGAAGATGATATTGTATAGTCTTCAAACTTAAATGCTTGAAACTCATGTTCCTGTGATATTTCATTTTCATAAAGCAACTCTGTTCTCAGTAGAAATTAGACATTTTAACTAAAAACATTTGGCTAACACACACTAGGCTCAGTACGTAAGAATAACAGTCAACACTTTGTACTGAGTGCTTGCTGCTGTTGTAGCACACATGCAGCCTGGCTGTTTTTTTGTTTTTTTTTTTGTTTTTTTTTGTTTTTTTTTTTTTGTTTTGTGGCTCAGATCACTACATCTTCATTGCAGCTCTGGGAAAGCATGGTTCCAATCTACTGTCTTCTGTAGCTGAGGCTTGGAGATATTAAACAACTTGCCCAAGGTCATCTAGCCATGAGAGATAAGGTGTCACTCTCATTCTGTGGGGGCTTCACAGGCTGCTAATCTTTCATGCACAGACTTTGACCATGGCTAGAACAGTCAGTACTTACGAAAGTCAATCTCCCACTTCCTGGATAATACACATACACACTGAAGTTGGATTATCTCAGTATTTGAAATCAGATGCATTCCTTTCCAATGAGAAATTTCAGCTGTCACCTCCTCTGAGCTCAATACCCTTGTCCATTCTCTAGATCCGGTGTCTGTGTCTCCTCTTGTTCCCCCACTTGTCTAGGCCAGGCTGGTTCTGTAATTCTAGAATCTTCCCCCTACCTCTCCCCATTCCCCTTTCTTTCTCTCTTTCCTCAGAGATTCCACAAGACATTTCCCAAGACACCTTCTGCTTCAACTTTGATGATATCATCTGGATCCTCAGCCACATATTATCTTGCATGGCTTTGAAATGGTGGCTTTCTCTTTTCTAAGCGTCTTGCCTTGTCCCATATAGTTTCCTTTGGGGGACTCTCATACCTCCAAAAACAATATTAGGTCCTGTGTTGGTGTTTTATTTATAATAATAATGAAGTTCTATTATTTGGAATAACAAGGCTTTATTTGGTATCACCAACCAGATGTCTCTTAAGGTCAGTTGTCATCTAGACTTGACTTTCAAGGGAATTTGAGATCAACTTGCTTTCCATAGGTCCTTGTAATAATAAGGGCCTAACTTGCTTTCTCTGTCCATCTACACAGAGGAACAGAGACCAGATGCTCTTAAATAGACATCCATGACCTGCCATTTTGACCTACAGGGAGATGATGATAATTTTTCATTTTGTCCCTTCCTTCCTCTTCCATTTTTCTCCTCTTTTCCATCCACCCTCCCTCTCCTTCCTTCCTTCCTTCCTTCCTTCCTTCCTTCCTTCCTTCCTTCC